CAGCTCCCTAAAGGCAGGATACAGAGGCCGATGGTTATTAACTTCAAGGAATTATTGTTGATCAGATCTTATAGATTCTAGAACTTACTCCATCCCCCTGAGTGGTATGACTCATTTCCTCTAAACCCTGCCAACACCTGTGCATAGGACTAGCTGCCTTGAAGCTCAACCTCAGGCATGTTTAGTTATAAGTTTATGCTCTCATCTACATCTGAAGAATGTGCTTAAATGAACACACTCCCGGGAACCACAGAATGTTGGCATTAATTAACAGCTGGAAGCTTGCAAGAGTATTCCTGATGCAGTGGTAAGTTTTCTACAACTCAATGGTTTGCATGCTTATGAGGAAAAATATTTTTGAGCATGAAATCCCAATATTTGGATATATTTATAAGTCATGTGCATGTATAATTATACTACTTACAATACATGTTAGAAATAGAAAAAGTTCTTTTAGAAGAGAATGTAAGAATGTAATAATCTATGAAAATAGATATTTTATATACTTATTAAATACCTTGCCTTTTATATCTAAAATACTTTTAAAGGTAAAATACTTTTACATATATATAATATCACATATTATAGTATATTACTAATATATTCTAGTATACATAATATATCATATATATATTAATACTCACAAGTTCTGGTTCTACTTTATCCTTATTCAACATTGAATTTATTAGTGAGCATGGTTAAACAAATGCCTCCCGAAAACATACAGAAATAGAAAGAAGAGTATCCTAGGCTTGCTCAAAAAGTTCTGATTTCCATATTCATTTTTAAACCCCTTTAAAACTTTGCAAGGTTCTGTTCACGTTTTAGATATGCCATTTTGAACAGTTTTGCTAGTGGTGATTATTTCATAAAAGACTTGTCAATATCTCAAGGATGAATTTACAATTAGGATGAAGTATGTGATGAACAATGCTTCCAAGTCTATATACCAAATAGATTTTAAATAAATCCAAGTCTCTCAGCCTACTTATTATTGGATATGATTAGCTTGTCATTTTTAATCTCAAGGTGCACATCAACAGATTTGAGTAGAATACCATACTGGCATCTCCTGGTGTCTGCCATTCTCCCATTATTAATATCTTCTACAGTTTATGATTCCCTCAGGGATCAATGAAGGAGGGCATAGTTAAAACTAGAAAATGATTTATAGCTGTGCACAACTGGTCAGTCACAAACTGCAATATTTTTGCAACATGAGGCTGACATCAGCCTTTTTGTGCTATGGATTCCCTCTGTGCTCTTGACTCCTAAATTGCTGAATGGGACTCGTGACTGTTTGCTATATGCACACAGGAAGGCTTTCTCTGAGTTAATCTGGATTTGAGCCATTAGTGAAGTTTGATTTCTTTCTTGGCTAAAAAAAATGTGCATTAGTGTCATAATATTTTCCTGCTGCATTCTGATGGTTTTCTTGAAGATAATGCAGCCCACTCAGAAACCAGCTTTAACCAATAGAAAATAATTCAAGATTTTGAGTGAGAAAGGCTTTGCCCCAGCCCTTGCTTGGATATACTAAGGCTATGGATTATTCTACTCCTGATCTTAAGCTGCCTGTCTGGAAAGCAGAGATTATACTGGGTACTTCTACAGTTGTAAAGACCAGGAGATAATGGACAGAAAGGTATCTAAAGCCAGGATGACACAACGTTATCAAACTTGCTTTCTTTTCTCATAAACATGGGACATGAAGAATACAGGAGTGTAAGGTACCAAAGAACCACCAGAAGCGGAAGCAGAATCTGGACTCAGGTGTTCTGTCCCCCAGGCCATGGCTCTTATCAATATTCCATGCAACTTTGATCCCATGAGGAGAAGTGAACCAATGACAATAGAGCTTCCAGACAGATGAACAGAGCTTTGCATCATCAAAGCCCAGTCCCTGATCCTGACCAGAACTCCTCATGTACCTTCTTCCTGGAACAGGGAGCTGGTCCCAGAATTGTTTCTTGCCTCTTTCACTGCTTGGTTTAAGTCATCTGACACAGCCATTCAGCCCCATTGAGTTTCACCCTAAGTATGCAAAAAGGAGTCATGGCCACAAAATGCATTGATTTTGAAACTGAGGTCTGACCTTAGCAGTAGATCATAAAAACGTTCATGGGTTATTAGTCTTCCATGAAGAGATAGTATCTATTTTTCTCCCTTGAATCTTTACCGTCCTTATGACTTGCTTTAGCCAGCAGAATGCATTACAATGATTATTTAAATTCTGAGGCTGAGCATCAAGAGGGCAGACAAATGATCTAATTAGATATCTCTCAAATGAAGATATATAGGTAGTCAACAAATATAGAACAAAATGTCCAACATCACTAATCATAAGGAAAATGCAAATAAAAACTGTAATTAGGTATCATTTCAGTACAGTTAGAATGGCCATTATCAAAAAGACAAAAAATATAACAAACTCTGGCAAGGATGCAGACAAAGGTGAACTCTCTTACAACATTAATGGGAACATAAATTAATACAAACATTATGGAAGTCAGTACAGAGATTCCTTAAGAAAAGCAAGGAAAACAAAACTACCATATGGATAGCAATTCCACTACTGAGTCTACATCCAAGGAAAGTATGTCAGGATGTCAAAGAGATCTCTTTGCTCCCATGTTTGTTGTAGCACTGTTTGCTAGTTGTCAATATATGGAATCGACCGAGGTGTCCATCAATGGATGAATGAATGAGTGGGTGAATAAATGAAGAAAATGCTGTGTGTGTGTGTGTATACACGACCATAGAAAACAATGAAATCCTGGCATTTGCTGCAGCAGGGGAGACTAGAGGAAATTGTGTTCAGTGGTATAAATCAAGCACAGAAAGACAATTACTGTATGTGCTCACTCGCATGTAGAAATAGGGAACAGAATCATGGTTACCAGACACTGGGAAGGGTGGAGGAGAGAAGGGAATTGTGAAACAATGACTAATACATACAGGGGTGCAATTGGATTGAAGGAATAAATTTTAATGTTAGAAAATAAGAATTCAGGATAACTATGATTGACAACAGTTAATTATGCATTTCAATATATCTAACAGAAAGGATTTCGAATATTCCCTACATTGAAAAAGATAAATGCTTGAGGTGACAGGTTAATTACCCTGATTTGACCATTATATATTGTACACATATATTGACATCTCACAGTATACTCCAGAAATATGCACTATTTTTTAAAAAGGAAAAAAAAAGAATAATGCCAAGCTGACCTGCTGGAAGACAAGAGAATAAAGGGAGGAAAGCCAACAGCCTCCTGCCCAAGCATCCAGACCTATGAACGAACCCAGCTGGGATTAAACCATGCCTGGTCCAACTGAAGGAATCACCCAACTGAGCACAATCCAAATTGCTTACTCTCAAAATCATAAGATAAATATAAAATTGTTATTTTAAGCCACTAAGTCTTAAAGTACTTTGTTATGCAACACAAACAAAATAATAAATACCTTTTGTTTTGGACATTAGCTGTGTTAACGCCGCTACATAACAAATTCAGGTTCTATGAATGTTGGTTTCCTTCTCAGTAACATAGGAAAAGTAGCTGCAGCCATTGTGAATGGGTAATTCTAGTCTGTGTTTAATTACTTTAAGAACCATTTTACTACTTAATTACTTTCAATGATTCTGGGAGGTAAGTCTATGAAGAGGACTCATTGAGATCATGTAGGTAAAATACCAAATTGAGAATACATACTCAAACTACTGGAAGCAACTATATTTTAATTTTATTTTCTAAGAGGATATTTTGAAAATATGTTCCCATTGTTTTAAAGAGCTAGGCATAAGTTTTAGTGTGTGGTTTGGAAGAGAAGCTCCAACAAGTATTCAGCATGGGGCACCTTTTTACCAAAGCTACACCGGAAAGATTCATTTCCATGAATTCACTTTCCTTTATAACTCTCATAATTAATCCATTCATCAGTTGTAGGGCATCTGGGTGGTTTTCATAGCTTGGCTATTGTGAACAGTGCAACAATAGAGTTTTATTCAGCCATAAGGAAGAATGAAACCACATAGTTTGAAGGTAAATGGGTGCATCATGTTAAGTGAAGTAAGCCAAGATCAGAAAGACAAAGGCATGCACATGTTTTCTCTGATGTGGGTGATAGATACAATACAAATACAAGCAATATTATGCAAAACAGGTCACTCTAAGGGAAGGTCAGTAATGGGAGAGGGGGAGTAAAAGAACGTTAAGAAGATGAATATGGTTGATGTACTTTCTATATAAGAATAAATACAGAATTTTAAAACCTGTTGAAATCACCGTAAGAAAGAGAACTAAGGTAGAAAGGACAAAAATAGAAGGCATGAATCAAGTCAAGTTATAATAGATATCTATGTGGAAATGTCACAAGGAAATTCCCTATAGAGCTAACTTAAACAAACAAAAATGCCCCTTTTAAAAAATAGAGAACAGGTTGATAAAACAGCTGGGGGTTGGTATCAGTGGGGGGGGAGGATATACAGAAAGGGTGAAGGAGGGTGAATGTAGTGGAAATATTATATACTCATGTATGAAAACGGAAAAATGAGGCATGTTGAAACTATTCTAGGAATGGGGTATGGGGGAGGGGAAAAAGGAGAATGGTGGAGGGGATGAATTCAACTATGATATATTGTAAGAATTTTTGTAAATGTCACAATGTACCCCCAGTATAACAAAAATAAAATAAAATAAATTCACAGTTAATAGAAAGAGCAACTGAGGGGGGCAAGAAAGTTCTGGGAAGTCCAAGAGGGAGGAGATAAACTAGCATTTTCTGGAGTTTGTCAGTATGTAATTTATTTTCAGATATACTAAAAGTTTGAATTGTCCTCTTGGCAGGAACAATAAAGAATATTTTTCTATTATTCCCAATTGTCCTGTGTTCTGACCTTATCACCTCTACCCCCTGCAAGAAAAAAATACAGATACAGATACACATAGACCCCTCCCCCACACACACACACACAAACCGTGAAGCGCACTTACCCTCTCTGAAAGAGATCCACATTATAAAATTTATGTAGCTCTACAGAAAACTCAACCGTTCCTTGTACTTCAGACATGATCTTTTTGGTTCATTACCTGAAAAATAGAGAAATTAATAGCTTGAGATGAAATCAATCAAATATAGCTTTATTTCTACAACAGGAACAAAACAGTGTAGATGGACAAGAATTTCTAGGCAACAGGGCCAGTTGGAGTACCATGTGTCTGCTTGATATCACCACTTAGGGTACCTCTTATAGAAAAAGACAGAGAAATGATGTAACTGGGTCAAGGTCATGCAGTTCACACCTGAAAAGGTCAAGACTCAGACTTCTGGTGTCCTAACTCACAGCTGGGCTAGCCCACTTTCCTTCCTCTCTGTTGGTACTGTAGAGCCAGCACTATCCTAGCTACAAGCACATCCTTCCTGGCCCAAGAGTCCCTGCTCTTCTGCTTTCTCACTGTGTGACCTTCAACAAGTCACTCAACTTCCCTCTGCCTCAATGCACTTATCTGTCACATGAGGGATGACAGTAACATACAAATTTAAGAACTGATGAAAAGATCAAATAAATATAACACACTAAAGCAGTAAGCACAGTGCCAGACATGTAGTAAATACTTGATAAATGGTAGCTTCCATTAATAATGATAGCAGTCATTGAAAATGATCCTATCATTAATATTGACAATGTAGGTGGCTGGAGTGAAAAGGAGAAAAATATGTTCTAGCAACCATGCGAAGCAGAAAATATGGTTATTGTTGCCAAGAAGATGCTGAGTCCAACTTAATAGGTTGCTAATGTTCCAAGCTAGGAGATCCAAAGGCCAATAAGAGGACACTGGGTGGGAAAAATGAAAAGGAATGTGATTAAGATGTGTCCAGTCTGGGATGGGAAACAAACCAAGAGGGAGATTCAAGGCAGGATGAGTTTTCTGAGATGTGAAATCATTTAGAAAACAGGAAATTGAAGGAAGGAAAAGAAACAGAATTTATTAAGCACTTACCAAATTCTTCATGCTACATAAAGTATTTTACTTATGTTTCCTGATTTTTAGCAATAAGAATTTTGTGGCCAGATAAAGTGGCTTAAAGCTGTAATCCACTTGGGAGGCAGAAATAAGGAGGACTGTGGTTCGAGGCCAGCCACGGGAAAACGTTTATGAGACTCCCCATCTCAACAAATTGCTGATGCACACATCATCCCACCTATGTGAGGAAGCACAAATAGGAGGATTGTGGTCCAGGGTGGCCAGACATAAAGTGAAACTTTATCTAAAAAAATAACCAATGCACAAAAAAGGCTGGCAGAGTGGCTCAAGTGGTAGAATGCCAGCCCAGCAAATGCAAGGCCCTGAGTTTAACCCTCAGTACCACTGAAAAAAGAAAATTGTGATAAAGATTCTTGTACAATTTTGCAGATAAGGAAAAAGGCTCAAAGAGGTTCTGATTTGTAATCTCCTGCTTCCCCAGGCCTTAGTTTACCACCATGTGTAATGGGAACAATGCAAATTACCCAGTAGGGCTCCCAATAGGATAGATAGTGATTACCTGCAATGCACCTGAAACCCTGTTCTCTGTAGCTGATATAACCTCCCAGATGGGAGAATGAGAGCAAAGGAGGAGGAGAGAAAGTAAGAGAACATTTGGGCTTTCCCAACTGGCAAATGGTGTTTAACACCTCAGTCTTCTATCAAAGCTCCTATTCTTTCTTGTCTCTGAGATGCTCCAAGCATCAGACTGTCACTGTGGTGCAGGGTCCAACTTCACTGCGTTTACCGGGGCCATGCTAGGCCAGTTCCCAAGAATAGCAGCATAAAGGATTATCTAAATCTTAACTCTACTTCTCAGCTTTGGCAAAGGTTCCACCCGCAGAAACATTTTTGTAGATGCAGAAGGTTGCATATCAAATTAAAATGTGGCAGATCCTAGGAACCAAACTATAAATTCTGCAAGTAGAAGTTTCAATCTGACAACCTTGGAAGTCCTGGCTTACAAAATGTGCTGGAAACCTGTGGGAGAGCCATATAGCATTGACTAACGCACCTGAGCCAGCCAAGGTTGGAACCTCTACCCAATTCAAACCCAGGGCACTTTGAGGAAAGGCTACATGAAGGGACCAACAAACAGAAGCCATTTCACTTCACTATTGCATTAAAAGCAATATCTACATCTTTCCTATTTTCTCATCAACCCAGAGTCTCAATCATCAAAAATTTGCAGACCTGGCAAGGCCATCTGACTCCTTGATTATTATTGTCAGCTTTCAATTACCTGCTCTCTCTGCAGATCTATGATCCCAGGGGAAAGAATATGTACCAAGAGAGATAAAAAGCAAGCACAACACACGCCAGCATTGCTAGCCTACGGCATGCCAAACAATGACATGGGGTTTCTACACATTATTTCACACTATCCTCGAAAACCCTCTGAGGAAGGTAGCATTGGCCCTGACTCACAGAGGACACTGATATCAGTCAGAGGAAAAGACAGCCTGGGAGCCCAAAGACCTTGGTTTTCCAACTCTAGCACTCATAGGTCAAATGGTGTTCTGAGAATAAATATTTAGAACAACAAATATTTAATATGTGGAGAATAGCACATAGAGCATTAATTTCCCCTTGGAAAAAGTAGCTTATCACCCTATTGTTCAGGTCTATGAACAGGATAGATCCTGGAATGTGTAAACAAACACAATTTCTTGGGAGGTGGGAGAAGCTGCCTTTTTCTTTTTAATAGCAAGTGATTCATTATAACCCAACATCCAGTCACACAATGAGGAAGGTGAGGTCATATTTAAAATATCAGTTTTAAAACTCCATGTTGGTTTATTTTTCTGGGAACAATACATGGTGCAATTTGTGCTCAGTTACCCAAAAACATTTACTTTTGTCTCAACCCTCTCCCCTGCTCCTTCTTTCTGAGGCTTATGCAAGGATATTAGAGTGGTGGCTTTCACCTGTGCTCCTCAGTCCAACAGCATTAGCTGTTATGAAAGCAAAATCTTTGAGTTCTATGCCAGATCTACTAAGCCAGGACTCACTCCAGGAATGAGGCTCAGGTGTCAGCATCTTCACAAGTCCTCTGGGGAATTCTGATGTAAGCACTCATTTGAGAACACTGGCTTAGAGACTGGAGTTTTGGAGTTGACCAGACCTAAAGAAACCAGGTTCCTTGTGAGCTACATGACCCTGACCATTGCTTTATCTCTCATTCCTCAACTTCCTCATTGGTGAGGGGCTTAGCAACAACATCTACCCCCTAAGGTTGTCTTCACTGTTGGAGGAGATCAAGTATATGAAGTGTTTAATATAGCGTCTGGCCCACTACAGAACACGCGCATGGCATATACATACCACAGACACATAACACATACACTTCACACTCATACACACATCACACTCATACACACAAAACATACCATCCACAGATATGCATACTATATACAGACACATAGACACACCAAAACACACAACACACAACATTCACCCGACTCTCAAGATGCCTGTGACATTCACCAGGTATACACTCAACCTGTATGTACACAACACATATGCACACACACTCACACCTAACATGCACATATAGAATACACAAAACTAGCACCTAACCTACAGTATGTGCATAGACACCATGTGTACATACAATTCACACTACCTACTGTAACCAGTGCCACCCATAATTCTAGTGGTCACAATCCTACTACATTTGGTGTGACTCTGAGATGCTTATCTTCACCTTGCATTCCGTGAAAGCTGTGTGCCCAGGCACTGTGCATATGGAGCTCAAAAGCATACCATGCTCTTGAGATGCTTAAAGATTGAGCAAGGGAGATCAGGGGCCATCAGAATACAACTCTGAGGGCTCAAGAAGGTGAGGGTGTGGGCACTAGTGGCTTGGCAAGGCTCCCTGGGAGGCTGACCTCTGACTGAAGAAGCCTTTGCCATGCCTCGGTTCAGGGTCATCAATACCAATCTTTCAGCGAGAAGAGTCCCCTCCATAGATCTTCACAATCTCAGCTTAGCTGGATCAAGCATGCCTGCCCTTGGTACATCCTTCCACACTGTATATAAGTCCCTGGAACCTCTAGTTGACAACTTGGTCCTTGATCAGGCAGAATCACTAGCAGCATGTACCTCTGTGCAGGTGACTTGCCCATAATATGCCACATTTTAAACTAGCACACTTAAAAAGGCAGATGAGGACACTTAAAAAGCACACTAAAAAAGTGTCCAGAGATGCAGCACCAGACTTTGGAGTTTTCCTTGTGGACAGCAGAGAGCATGATCTGTCTCTAGAAAATATACATGGAAGCTTTGGGGCCAGATGTCTGGGTCTCCAATGACTCCAGGTAATCCTGGACTCATCACTCACCTCCCTAAGCTTTATTTCCTCATCTGTAAAGTGGGACTAATAATTCATTCTTCATAGGGTTTTTGTGATAAAGATGTTTATATATGCAAGGTTCTGGGAACAGCCCTGGTGTATAATGAATCCCCAATTAAGTGAAGACTATTTTTAGTTGTGTTTCAAAAGACATAGTAAGAAGACAGAGCAAAAGAAGATGCTGTGAAATTAGACCTCTGTTTGGTTTTCACTAAAGAAAATCTTGAATGATGACTTAAAATGTCTTTTTTCTTTTTGAGGATCTGCTAGAGTCCTGCCATGTACTGGAAGCTTGATAGCCATCCCAGCTGCCCAAATGGTGGATCTGACTTCACCATCACAGGAGGTGTGGAGACAAAAAATGGGGGACCCACTTTCTGGTATGCTGGGCCCCTGCCTTGCATTCAAATAACAATTAAATTCCTTTTTGTCTATAACTTTGTCTATAACCTCATACTCAGGCCAGCCAATGTATACCTTTAATCAACAAGGATGAATTATAAGAGCCAGGGGAGGTAACAGAGGAAGAGTAAAGAATAGGTGAACTTCCCTTCAGATCTGATTGTGCCACTTACTAAAGTCACCTAACTCCTAAAATCATGTAAAATGTTGGCTGATGAAAACGGGATTGTACAGTGCTAAAAACACTTATTGTCAATAGGGTCTTATTGGGGTAAAGAAGAACATAAA